CAACAGCCATCTTTAACGATCTAGGGTAAACTTCCAAGACAAACCAGTAATATATATTTTTTATACAATAAAAAGCACATAAATATAAAGTAAACATTGAAATCTTTTCATAAGCATCAACAGAGTTGGTCTGTTCAATTTCTTTATTACAAAAAGATAATTTTAAAAATAAAAATGCAGTAAACTAAAATTGGGATGGAATTTTTCCCAAATCACCTCATTACTAGTAGTTATTAAAAATCTTTATTTTATATAGTTTTTTTAACCAAATACTAAACAATTTTCTTCATCAAATAAATGACACGTTGGAGATAAGTTAAAAACTATAGACATAAAAATATATGTAAGTAATAAATAAATATCTACTATTAATAAAGTCATAGAGGCTTGTTAGACTTTCATATGTTTACAAATATTTAAATAAAAAAAAAACTTCTTTTGAAACTCAAAACCACAATAATATAGCAATTGTAAACTTTTCAAATTTATCACAGTTATAAATAATTTTTGCGTTAAATGCTGAGATAATGCCATATACTTTATTTTTAAGAACCAAGGGTTAGATTTAGGGTAGCGTATTTTAGGGTTTTCAAAGCAAATTGCTGACATTATAGATCTCTTTTATTTAAACAAAATTTATACGAGAAAAATTTATTTAGAAACGTATATGAAGTTATGTTTGAAAAACAAGTTTTTTTAAATATAATACTTGTTTTTCAATTTTTTTAATCAAAGACATTAAAGAGACATAAAATGTAATAGCAAATACAAGTTTTATTATTAAAGCTGTCAATACACAGTCTGTATTCACTTCAGCTACAAAAGTAATTTGCTATATCTATGATGTTCAGCCAATTTTTGCTGTGTGTATTTAACAGCATACATTAGTTTAATCGTGTTTGGTTCTTGGTGCTTCTTAACCAGGTTTTTCTTCATTTTTCACAATTCGCTACCTTCTTGTTTTCCTGATTCATATAATTTGCAATCTTTTTTTGCTTTATAAACTTCACCTTTTCTCTTCCATTAACTTCCAACTCTAATAGTGGTTGCTTGCAGCTCTCTTGCAACTTGCAAAGCTCTCTTGCAACTTGCAAAGGTCTCTTGCAACTTGCAAAGTTCTCTTGCAACTTGCAAAGCTCTCTTGCAATTTGCAAAGCTCTCTTGCAAGTGCTCTGTGATAAGACCGATAGGTCTTCTTGAAACACCATATTAGCAACAACAACAAAAAAAAAACAAAAAAAAAACACATAGTAGCGTTTGTTGCTGATATCAGAAAAATAAGTTTAATCAGTTACCTGGTTTTTGAGAATGATTCTGTTTCAACTTTGTTTGATTCTCTGTAAAACACAATACATACAAATAGGTACTATTAACATACAAACACGCATTGCAGTGTTTGTGTATTATTGAATTTGTGATACACATTAATTAAAATGAATAAAATAAATGACAACGAGGCTTATAGTGTACCCATTTATATCTTACCTGAAAGTTTGAGCAATTTTTTAAGAGTTTCTAATGGTTGAGTAGTAGATTTATATGTTACTTGCAACTAGACGTGGAGAACTGAAGCATTTAAGTCTGTTTCAAAGAATGAAAGGACTTCTTTTTTTATTGAGCTACCTGGTTCTATCTTTTTAGACATTGAATATTTTTGTTGTTTAAATTTTTAACAACTAACTGTCACTTCTGTAACTTTAAAATAAATCAATTATGCTTGAAAAAATCAAAACTAGAACTCTCAGGTACTACTGATGCAGAAGTTCCAATTTTAAAACAGCGCTTTGCAATGAAGATGCAAAGAAAAGTTTTTTAGTTGAAGCAATTTTTTTTAGATTTCAAAACGGTTCTAGAAAAACTCAAATAATTTTTTAGACCAGATTGATTTTAATGTAGTTAAATTTTTTTTAACAACTTTTTGACCTTTACAAACCGAAAGTATTGACTTTTTAGCCTTGCCCAGTTCAATCCCAAACAAGGAAGGAAGTTTTTTTATTTGTGCAGTGTGTGCAGCGACTCCTCCTATTTAAGTAAAAATCTTGCTTGTTCTTTGATTTAGCTTCATTGTTTTCAGATATGAAATAAAATGATTTAGGTCTTACCGTGCAGCGTATACGAACAAAAGGTGTCCCAGGGATAAAATTTATTTTTATCTTTTAAAAAAGAAATTCACGTTTGGAAGATTTTTTTATCAATTTTATAATTTCATGATGTTGATGGCTTCCAGAGTATCTTGTAGTATCAAGCTCAAAGGTCCTTTCTTACTCGACACCTACTCGCGCCGGCCCTGCATGTCATCACCTTATGATTCAATTTTTTGAATGCCTTAAACATTCATTTTATAGATTTGAAATTAACTTGAAGATCAACAAAAAAGTTCAAGTACATTTAGAAAAAAAAATTCATGACGCATTTGGACACAAGGTGGACATTCCAAGATCTGAAGGACCAGCACAGCAGACAATATTTGTCGGAAGGCATTTTCAAATCGAGCAATGTTAAGTAAAGTTCTCGATATAGATAAAAAAAAATTGATAATATTCTTATTGTATCGATATTCGTATCGATACAATCAGTTGCAATAACTCTATGGATCCTACTAAATTTGCAAACTAATGTAAAAAATCATGCAAAAAAGTTCAAAGAAATCCAAACTATTCAATGTATTTAGGCAAGAAAATAATACTTCTGACCCAACTATTAGTTCGTTATCTTTAGCCAAAATAATGAAGTATAAGCCAAATATTGCTTCATTTATTTATCAAGAAAATAACACAACAACTAGAGACAGAATTGACCCGGACAAGATAATGCATGACTTAGAAAGATCTGATGAAATCATTATGATGTCGGTATAGAAAAAATCACTGAAAAGGAGGAATTGAAACATAAAAAGTAGATGATTATTAAGACTGAAAATTTTTAATAGAATATTTAATATGTACTTAAATCTAATGACGCAAAAAATAAAAAAATGTTCATTTTTTAACTTTTATCTTTCACATTTTTAACGAAAAATTTCTTTGCTTTTATGATTCAAATTTGATGAATTTTTTTCCAGAAGTAAAATCTTATATTTACATTTAATATACTTGTTTAAAAAAGTTAAATCTTAAAAAGAAAATAATTTTATTTCATAAAACATTTCCACATTTTGGAAATAATGCAAATTTTCAATTTTAAGGCCTAATTTTTCATTTAAATCAAAACCAAATTTAATAAAATTTTTCATAGTAATCATCATAATTCATAGTAAACGTAAAAAGAAACGAGAAAAGAATGTTAAACGAAAAAAACATTCGAAAATGAAAAGTAATTAAAAGCAATTAAAATAAAATATAAAAATTGCTCCGTTTTTGAAGAAACGTAAAAGAATATTTTTTAAATTTTATTAATATTGACGGACGTTTGTCTTTTTTGTTGTTGTTGTATTTTGTTTTTGTATTCTTGTGTATTGTTAATTGGGCATTGTAGAGTATAATTCATTTTGTAAAATAATTTAGTGCGTTGTTTGCATCGTATGTTTTTTAATTTAAATGTTTTTAATTTTATGTTAGTTGGACATTTTAAAAAATGTATATATTTTTAAAGCTGTATATGTATATGTATCTATATTTACATGTATACATAGCTATCTGAGTGCATGTACACGCGCGCGTGTATATATGTGTGTATCTATGTATGTGGGTAAGTATGTGTATATATCTTTATATTTCTGTTTGTGTGTGCATGTAACAATATTAAACTTTCTCATTTTTTAATGCTTTTTTGTTTTTCTTTATTTTATCTTTAATTTTTATCATATTTTTTGTTAATGTTTTATTTCTTTTAGTTCTAAATATTTATCGTAGCCACAATTATTACTATTTTTATCTCTACTATTATTATTCATATTTTATTAATTTCAATTTAAATAAATGTTATATGTTATTGTTATTTGTTACGTTTTATCAGTCAATTAATGATAACTAACTTATATGTATATTTAGCTATTGTGTTTATAAAAACAAGTGACTTATTATTTGATTATTTATTTAATTTAATTAATATTATAATTGTTTTTGATGTTGTTTTTTTATTATTATTATTGTGGTTCTTATATTTATTACTATAAATATTATTTTTATTATTATAATTATTATTCTTATAATTATTACTAGTTATATATATAAAGATCTATATTTTTGGTGTTTACTTGATATTAGTAGAATTACTATTTGTAAATATCCATGAAATTATTTTTCAGAATATATATATGATATGATAATCAATTATAGCATACACTTCAAAATAACACGAAAACTTTTAACTTTCAAAAAGGATTTTACTTACGGCCACCTAATTGTATCATAGCGTCACTAGACAATATAAGTTGTAACGAGTTCAATACTGATTTCATTACAATGATTTCTCTTTTTAATTAAAAAAGTAGCGTAGAATCAGTGCGTTTACAATTATTTGTATTTTACTTCGTTTCTGAAAATAAAAATAAAAATTTTAGCATAATCAAAAACGAAATTTTTTAAAATATTTTCAAATTTTTTAGTAATATGTTTAATTTAGAAGCCTATCAAACAAAAAAGAGAATGTGGGGTGGGCGGATGGTCTATAGCCTTAAGCCCCTAATTTTCTACGCCCATGTCCCATCTCCCACCGTTCTCCCCTTAACAAGCTTAATGTTCTCTGATTTATGTACACAAGACAAACTTTTAACCCGTTAACAGGACAACTTATAACTCGGGCTATTTTGTTAAAAAACTTCAAATATTAACTTTTATATATAAAGCTAAACTTGTTAAAATTATCTTATATTTGTATCTTTTTACATTATTTTTATACTTAAATCAAATTAATAAAATAAAAAAATATAATAAACCCTCCTTAAATTTAGAAACAGTAGAATATTTTAATTAGAGACAACATTGTTTTAGTATCTTATTTTTTACCAGATTAAAAAAACAAAGATTTTGCTTTGCAGTGTTTTCCAAAAATTAAAAAAATGTTATTAACGGCAAGAAAATATACATATTACATTCGAGAAAATTTACAAAAACAGTTACAAGAAAAAAGAAAAATGTTACGTTAAAGATAAAACATAAGGTATGAAAACCGAAAATTTGGATGAGGATGTGTTATTTAATCTTCGGAGAGAAGAAGTTTTGCCGGAATTCCACGATCCATTTATAATCACTGGATACCGAAAACCATATTTGTCAATTATAAACTGTGTTAAAAGCTCAGTAATGTTTTCTTGCAACGAATCCTTCAATATTTTATCTCATTTTGTATCTTTCGTATTTTTTATTTTCTTATTTGTATTGTGTTTTAAATCAGAGTTGGATATAAAAGATGTTGAAACGTGGCCTTTAGCAAGCAACATGCTTGGAAATATTGGATTTACACTAATGAGTACCATAGCGCATACATTTAATTCGATGTCAGTTGAAACAAGGCACAAATGTTTTTATTTGGACTATGCGGCAATATCAATATATGCATTTTGTTCCGGGCAAGCAATTTTCTTCTACGCAAGTGCTTTCTTTTCAGACAATATTTTTTTAAATAATTCATATCTCTTTAGTATTGTTGGCGCACTTATCTCAATTACTTCTACTTTATTAAATTGTTTTTCGAGAATGAAATGGCAATCAAAAAAGTATATAATAAGAACACTTACATATATTTGTGCATACATTTGGAATTTCCTACCGTACGGCTACCGTCTTCTAACTTGTACCAATATATTAGATTGCGATAAAAGTGGTTTAAAATTAGCTATATTAAACTCAACTCTCTTTTTAATGGCAGGTATATTAAACGTTACGAAAATTCCTGAACGTTTTTATCCTGGAAAGTTTGATTGTTGCGGACAAAGTCATAACCTAATGCACATTTTTTTATCTGTTGGGTCTTACTTACAGCTACAGTTTATAAGAAATGAAATGTCTCGAGGTTTTCAACCAAAGAAAAATTATTATTATTCCCTACTTGCAACTATTTTTGTGATTAATATGAATTTGTTAATTGCAATTCTTTTTCCAACAAAATGCAAGTCAGCAAATGTGGTTCAGCCAAAGAAATCAAAATAATTAAAAACCTTTTTCATTTCATACTCAGTGATAAACAGTTTTCATGACATGTTAACATTTTTGTTTTAAAATTACAAGTAATGTATATTGATATGAATAAACTATATATATATATATATATATATATATATATATATATATATATATATATATATATATATATATATATATATATATATATATATATATATATATATATATATATATATTTATATGCAAAAAAAAATTACTAAACGTTTTTTTATTCATAATTAATAAAAAAAAAAATCGCTATTTGTTGTAAATAATCAAAAATATTATACGGTACGGACAAATGAAGTTAGGGGAATTCCTTAAGGCTCCACTGAGGTTAATGCACAACACCTTAAGCTTGTTATCCAATAGTTAAAGAAACAATGTACAGCAGTTGTGCAACTTTTTTGTATAGCAATTGTTGCAAAATTTAATTTGTTTTTATTTCTGCAAAAATTGTTTTACACCGTAAATTTTGTTAAACAATTGATGTTAAGTTGTGTAATTTACGCTAGTAAGTGTTTTCATTTCTATTTTATGGTATACAGACCCTTAGTAGACAAACAAAATTTAAAATATTGCAAAAATTTTGATAGATGATTTGAACGCCAGAAAATAGATGGGTTCAGAAACAAACCCCTCAAACTGTGAGAAGATTGGATGCAACGTTTCTAAACCCTTTAAATTAAGGGGGCTATAGCATTTACATAGTGGTAAACTTGGTACATCAGACCAATAATTTTATTAATTTTTGATTGTAAATATATAATGTTAGGAAGCTAAGATAAACGATTGTCAACAAGTATTCCTAATAATTTTATATAGTTTGGCTTTTTTATCTGTTTATAATTTTTAAAAAATCTCGTAATTTAAAGAGGTTTTTTTCTTGCATTTTTTATGGAACAGGGTATACTTTAACTTCTCAACGTTTAGTTAGAGTTTATTCGCCATAAATCAATTATTTATATAAAGTTGTTTGATATTGTTTGTATATAAAGTTGTTTGATATTAAGAAATAGGCTTGTATCATCTGAAAACATAATTGGGTTTAACTGTACTGGCGCATTATTTAAGTTGTTTATATGAAATAAGAATAAGAGAAAAACAAGTATCAAAAAAAAAAAAATACAGTAAGGATATATATTTTTATTGAAAATATGTTGTTTTCTAATAGTGAGGTAACTTTTGACCCATATATATATATATATATATATATATATATATATATATATATATATATATATATATATATATATATATATATATATATATATATATATATATGTATATATATATATATATATATATATATATATATATATATATATATATATATATATATATATATATTTAATTTAAATTCACACCTCAAGACTACAAAGGGTGAATTTGAACCTCGAACCTTTTGACTGCTACCACAAGTCTACTACCGCAGTTTTTGTTTGGCTTTAGTTCGGTTTAAGAATATTTTTTGGTGTTTTATTGTTGGATTAGCGAGTGTTTTTGTTTTTATTTTGACTACTTCTTTAAGACACGCTATGCATAGTTTTTTTAATTTTTTTATTTTTAAAATACTATTTTCAATAAAATTTTAAAATGATCTAATTTTACCTGCAGGTGGTCGGTACAAACATAGAATTATTTTTATAACAAAACTTTCATAGTTATTTGCGACACTTAGTTGCTTTTTTAGGCGCTAATTTGCATTTTCATTTTTATTACTGATTATTACTAATTTTTATGGTGATCAAAATTCATACAAAAACATAGACCTGAAATCCAAAGGAGAGTTCTCTAATTTGATGTTGAAGTTTAAAAAATGACATTAAAAAATGCTAAAATTCGGCATTTTTTAAAAACGTTTTACACCAAAGTTTACATTTAGAAACCGATAGTTTAGAAAATCTTTTTTTAATTTCGCGACCCGGTTTTTATTGTCATCAAAATTAAATTTTATTTAAGGGATCGTCCAACGCAAAATATTGGATTGTAACATAAGTTCGTAGAGTTTTGCGTTAGAGTTATTTTACAACGATTTGTTTTGTTTTTAGCAAAGTGTATACATTCATTCAAAAGAGCCTACAAAACGGTTTTATTTGTGTTTTTTTTGGATAATTTAATTGTTCGTCTTTTTTCTGGCTCAGAAATGGAATACCCAGGAGGAAAAAATCAGCATTTTCGAATTCTGTTTTTCTTTGCTTTTCATCGAGGTCAAAAAGCAGTTAAAGCCGCTCGGGTGTGTACGGAAAAGGTGTCTTCGGTGTGTCAACTGCACAAAAATGGTTCGCAAAGTTTAAAAATGGCGACTTTAACCTTGAAGACACGCTTCGAAGCGGACGACCTGCAGAATTCGACGAAGAGCATCTGAAGGCACTATTGAAGGAAGATGGTTGCCAAACAACTCGTGAATTGGCTGAAAAAATGAACATCAGTGCAATGACAATCTATCGCCACCTTCAATCAATTGGTTTTACTCTAAAACTCGGAGCATGGGTACCTCACGAGCTCAACGAAGAAAGCAAAGAAAAACGCCTTCAAATTGCTGCTCAACACTCGCCCGCCACCGAGCAACACATGGACACAAACAGCGCTATTTGTATCGAATCATCACCGGAAATGAGAAATGGTGTCTGTACGTCATTGTGAAGAAAAGAAAGGAGTGGGTGGCCCCAGGAGAGACGCCGAAGCCGAGAGTCAAGCAAGATCTTCACCCAAAAAAGGCCATGATCTGCGTTTGGTGGGACTGGGAAGGCATGGTGCACTGGAAAATGCTCGAACGAAACGCCACTGTCAACAAGGAGATCTACATTGCCCAGCTGAACCGTGTAAATCAGGCTATTCGGCTGAAAAAATCCGATAGATAAGGTCAAGTCATCTTGCTCCACGACAATGCCAGGCCCCATATTGCCCAAGTCGTCAAAACAGCACTCCAAGAGCTTGAATGGGAGGTTCTTTAGCATCCACCGTACTCTCCGGATCTTGCACATACCGACTACCACTTTTTCCGCTCTCTATCAAACCAAATGAGGGGTGTTACCTTTGATGGCGAAGAGGATCTTAAAAACTGGCTCAACAACTTCTTCGACACCAGACCGACCGATTTATGGCGAAACGGCATCAACAAATTGGTCGAGAGATGGGAGGAGGTCGTAAACAGTAACGGAGAATACATCATTGATTAATTTATTATTATAATTATTGTTTTTTGTTCAAATAAATCTTTATGAAAAAACTATACGAACTTATTTTACAACCCAATACATTTAAAAAACAGTTTTTAAGATTTAACCATATTTAAATAAATAAATTTTTATGATACAATCAATTTAAATAAAATTCAGAATAGCTTTTAAGTTTAATAAAGATCGCGTAAAAGAGGCTAATCTCCTATTTCTGTTTTTAAAATGTATTTTGCGTTGCGTAATTTATGGACGATCCCTTAGATCTTTTTTAATTAATTTTTGTTTTAATTCTTTAAAAATGTTGATTTTTAGATGTATGTACATGTTATGTATACAGTTAATGTATATATTAACTGACAAATAGGGATTGGCACAATTAAATGTACATGCAGTGATTAACAAATAGGGTTTGGAGCAATTAAATGCACATGGTTTGGGTGAGGGTTAGGGTTTTGGTCTGACATCAATTAGAAATTGATGCGTTTTGCAGTTTTACTTCAAAGTGTTAATAGAAACCAGGTTTTTTTGAAGTTATCTTTTTTTTTTTTTTTTTTTAATTTGTTATTTAGGTGCCCCAAGAATTCCTAAAAGTCTTGTCACAGAGCACCACGGATATGCATTTAACCAGGAATTCACGTCTTCTTGCTTACCGTGACGCCATTTTCAGACATGTTTTTATACGATTTTTAATCACATAAAATTCTCTATGATATCCAGATAATCAGTTATAAAAACAGGGGGTAGAGATGTAAATTAGCGCCGCTTTTTTACATATAAATCAACATAGCATAATAAAATGGTAGCTCCAGATATATAACAAATAACACAAAAGCAGATCGAATGTGGTAATATCATCGGTTACTTCTGATAATGAAAATATTGATTTTAACTTTAACCATTTCTGACATTTTTATTTTAGACGTTGATTTAAACTTTTGAGTGTCGAAGATAAACGCTCAGATTTAATAAATAACATATTTCTACAACCGAAAATGATGCCGTATTCATGATTACAGATTTTGAAAATGAAATGAAAAAATCAAACAAATTGTTTAATAATTACAATAAAAAAAAACAATATTTACCAAAGATGGATGGGAAAAGACAAAACAATATTTACCATTTGAAAATCGGATGAGCTTACAAATTAAACTAAATAAAGATGGTCAAAGTACTGCTTACATTTTGTTGAATTTAAAAATTAGCACTCCTTTTAAAAAAAAGTTCACGTCACAAGTTTGCTAGTCAAACTCAGATTACAATACTTCAACCATGCAAAACATATTGGTAGTCATGGTAGTCAGGTAGTCATGGTAGTCAGTTCTATAAAACAATTGTTAAATGTTTAAAGAAGTTTTTTTTCAACGCTTGGTCCAGACGTTGTGTGTTTTATCAAAAAAGATGTTAAACTTAGAGTCTTCGTCAGACTAACAAGCACCGCTACTCATGCATGTTGAATACAAAATTGAATTGCTCGACTACGAATAGGTAACAGCTTTTGAACCAGCTGCTTCTTATCGTTTACGGGGAGAAAGAATTTTTTGGGAGAAAAAATTTAATTTTAAAAGAATTTTCAAATTAAGAGTTTTATGACATTACAAAAACTGCTAGTAAAAATCTTAAATTTATTAGTGTTTAGTACTTGTATTCAAAATTATGAAATAATTTTTTATACAAGTACTAAACACTGAACGCTTCTTGAAATGCATTGCAGCTGTGGGGTATAGAGCTGCAGTTAAGACTAACACGATTGATTATTTCAGGTTTAAATTTCATCAAAAAATAAATAAACTTTTGCATTACATTCGTTGGCCCAATGTATGTGTCCAGCTGAGTAATGCAAAT